TGTATGTATGTATGTATGTATGTATGTATGTATGTATGTATGTATGTATGTATGTATGTATGTATGTATGTATGTATGTATGTATGTATGTATGTATGTATGTATGTATGTATGTATGTATGTATGTATGTATGTATGTATGTATGTATGTATGTATGTATGTATGTATGTATGTATGTATGTATGTATGTATGTATGTATGTATGTATGTATGTATGTATGTATGTATGTATGTATGTATGTATGTATGTATGTATGTATGTATGTATGTATGTATGTATGTATGTATGTATGTATGTATGTATGTATGTATGTATGTATGTATGTATGTATGTATGTATGTATGTATGTATGTATGTATGTATGTATGTATGTATGTATGTATGTATGTATGTATGTATGTATGTATGAATGTATGTATGTATTTTTTAATTTGAAACAAGCCCGGAGTTAAACAAAATTTTCAAAAAAAAAAGTTCAAAATCAAACAATAGAGTAGAAAAATCCATAACAAACGCCTTTTAATGAATCTCTAAATAAAAACTAACAATCCATTGCAAATGGAACAATTGTTGCTATAACAACAACAACGACAACAACAGACAACAACAACAAACAACAACAAACAACAACAAGCAACAACAAGCTACAACATCTTCATCATCAACAGCAACAACACAAACACAACAAACAACAACAACGAACAACAACATTTTCATCATCAACAGCAACAACACAAACACAACAAACAACAACAACAAACAACAACATCCTCATCATCAACAGCAACAACAGCAACAACACAAACACATCAAACAATAACAAACAACAACAAACAAAAACATCCTCAACAGCAACAATGTAACAAACAACAAACAACAACATCCTCATCGTCAACAGCAGCAACACAAACGCAACAAACAACATCATCTTCATCCTCAACAGCAACAACGTAACAAACAACAACAACAAACAACAATAACATCCTCATCGTCAACAGCAACAACACAAACACAACATGATAAACCACTCAAAACAAACTCTACAACAGGAAAACAACTATGCGAAATAACTCATAATAATACTATGATAACGATCGTAGAAGTAATGACGTCATATCGTGATAATGCCAATAAAAAATATTAAAAGACTAACACTGCACATAATTCTACAAACGTCATCTTACTTGACCAACCAAACACAAAAATTAAATTTTCACGGAAACAATTTTCACATATAAAATAACCATTCAATTGAAAGCCAGCCAGCATATGAGCATCAAATTTTACGGAAATGTTTATTTTTGAAAAAAAAATTTGCCCAACGTCACAGATACGATGTGAAAAAACTTTAAAAAAAATTAACGTCTAATACCAAGAACTTTAAAAAAAAACAAACAAATAAATAACTGAAAAATAAAAACAACAAAAGAAATAAAACTCTAAAATTAACAACAGAACATCAATACAACAACAAAAAACGACAGAACATCAAAGCAACAACAACAACAACTACATACAAACTCATACATATACTATACAAATGTAAGTATGTATAGTATATGTATGGGTGTTTAAATATGTGTATGCATATGTGTATGTATGCATATATTAATTGGTTTTAAACATTATGAATTGTACATTTTTTACATATATGCTATATATTAATTGGTTTTTATATGTATGCATATATTAATTGGTTTTAAACATTATAAATTTTTCCTATTTTATATATATGTTTTTAAAATTGATTCTTTAAAAGTTTTAAAAAAGAAAGAAAAAAAAATATTTAATTTACATTTATTTAATTGAACTATGAATTTATGATTACTTTTTTGAATTTTGGGGATTCCGCTTAGTTAAAATTTACTCTTTTGGAATACCCCATTATGTAACAAATTTTTGTTTGTTCATAATAAACGATTAAGAACATACAAACAAACAAACAAAGAAACAACAAAGAAACAACAAAACAACATCGCCGAGAACGCCAGGGTATGTCGTCAGTTTGTTTACATATTGTTTCTAACATGCTCAAATAATCCCATATAAACAACACGCACTACAATAATGATGACGATGACGACGACGATGATGGTGACGACAAAAATAATGATGATGATGGTGACCACAAATTGCAAAGAAGTTGTGATGAAATGATGACAAAACTGAAAATGACGCTGTCAGTGTTGATGATAATAACACACATGATAATAATAATAACAAAAAGTCATAAATACGTCCATGTAAAAAATATTGATGATAAAAAGATGATGGTTATAGTGATGATAATGAAGTTGATGATGACGATGATGCTGGCGTTGCTAAACGCGCATTGTTAAAACGTATACAGCCGGAATAAATTCCATTGTCTTTGCGCACAGAGCAGTAATTAACGCTTTATTCATTCACATTTATGCATATATGTACGTGCGTACACTTATGAATTGAATATACGTACGCTTATGTATGTTAACATTTGCGTATATCGGTATATCTCTTTACGTGTTTGTACATGTTTGTTCGTTTGTATTCCTGTGTAAAATGAAATACCGCTTCAAATGTGTAGATTGGTGTGCATGTGTACGTGAATTATTATGTACAAATATGCATAATTGCGAATATACCCTACATATAGACCACTATTTGAATATCTGTGTGAATGGATGTGTGTGAGTGAGTATGGATGTGTGTATGGATGTGTGTGTATTGTATAATGTGTGTGTGTGTGTAATATGTGTCTAAGGAATGACAAGGAAAGTTTGAAGATTCGCTAAAAATCAGCATAATTTTATTTTGGAATAACTGCATACGAACGTTCAGTCATAAATGAATTCAATCAAACATGTTGCGTTTATATAACTTGATAAAATTTTTGAAATGATGCAACCGTCATAAAACAGGCAACTTATTTTTCTGTTGCATCCCGCAAATAAATTTATAGCTAAAATATTCAAAATGTTGTCAGGCACTTACCCGATGAAAAAAATTTTATTAACCGAGAACTGCTGCAATTTTTGCGAATATTTTTCTACAGCTATTATGAAAAAATTTGCATACACGTTTTTGTGGAAGCAACTCATTTTGCAGGTATGAAAATATAAAAATATGTATTTAATTAGAATAAATTTGTAAATGAATAAATAAATGTAAATATCTTTATTATATTTAAACAATTTTATAACTTAATGTCAGTCAATTCAAATTTCAAATCAAAATGTGCACTTAACTGTTTAAAAATGTATATTTATGAGCACCACGTTTTTGTATTATTATATATATTTATAAATATACTTGCTTTAATTCAAAAAAAAAATCATTCATCAAAGTGCATGCATGCACGTACACGCAAGCACATGCAGACTTTAAAACGAGCTAGACATGCCGTCGCATTCATTCGCGCCATTTCAGCTGGGCGGATGTGATTGCAGACGACATTTATTAATGAGGATAACACGAGAAAGATGAGGAGATGATAACAAGAGAATGATAACGATAAGGCGAAATGGCTGAAGATAACGTGAAAATTGTATGATGATGTGAAAGAATTGATGATAACATCGAAGAGTGATTAAACTATTAAAGAGAGGATAATGAGTAATATGAATGGCGATGATGGTAAAACAAAAGGGGAAATGGTAATGCGAACGGTAAAGTGATAAAATTTTTGGCATGGTGATTTAATGAATAACTTGAAGATGATGACGACAACGACAATGATGAATGTAATAACTAGTAACAACAGTGATGATGTGATGATATGATGATGATGATGATAACGACAATAATGATGATGATGATGATGTGATAATGACGATGATGATGATGTGATAATGACGATGATGATGTTGATGTGATAATAACGATGATGAAGATGATGGTGGTGAAGAAGAAGATGATGATGGTGATGATGATTATTAAGTTGTCACCTTCAACATACGCACAGACACGAAAACAACGCAATTATATTACAACAATCTTTAACGTTTTATTTGCAGTCATAAAAATCAATACCGAACGGCGATGTACATATCCGCTGAATCAATTTAAAAATATTCCTTTGGTTAAAAATGTTGACAAGATAAGATAACAAACAGACAAGAAGTTTATTTATTTTATTCATTAGTAGATTAATTATTCAATTCATTCGTTCGTTCGTTCGTTCGTTCGTTTTTTCGTTCGTTAACCAAAGACAAAAAAAAACTAAGAAGATATTTTAAAAATTTAATTCGTTTATGTTGAAGTTTGGCGGCCTTGTTTAAATTTAAATAACATCACGTAGTTTTTTTACTCTTTTTTCTATTCACATCTACATTTTCCCTTTCTTTTTCTTGTTCTTTCTATCTTTCCTTTACTTACTTACTCTCTCTCTCTCTCTCTCTCTTTCTCTCTCGCTTTCTCTCTTTTACTCTCTGCTCTCTTGAACGTTCAAACAACACAAATTGAACCATCGAATGACCAAAGATTGATCAACCATTAAGCAGTAATGCGATAGAATTGAGTCGGTCATCTGTCCAAGATACGTCAGTAAGTGATTGAATGAATGAAAAAACAAATGAAGGAGTATTTGAATTAGTCAATAATTTAATGGAGAGGTGAAAAAATGAGTGAATGAATGGACGAATAAAAGATTGGACAGAGTTATGAATGAATGATTATTTATATTCAATGGTTTAAAGTTTGCATTAAATTAGTTTTACAAAATAAAATTTTTAAGAAAACAGCAATCAATATTTTCTCTTTTTTTAGCGCTATTTAAATTTAATTTCAAATATTAATCCGAAAAAACCATGTTTACCAATAAAATAAATTGAAAAGATTTTCAAATAAGAACACGTCAATAGGAGGATGATTGATCTATGTGGGCTTAGTTTGATGGTTGGCTGGCTGGTTGGTTGGCTAGCTGAGTGAGTGGTTGGAGGACTGGCTGGTTGGATGTTTGGTTGGTTGATTAGATGGTTGGCTGGCTAGCTGTGTGGATGGTTGGCGGACTGGCTGGCTAGCTGGCTGGTTATATGGTTGGGTCTTCAGTTGATTAGGCAAATGATTCATTGATTGGTTAACTAGTTGGCCGCTTACTTGTTTGGTTAGTTGGCTACGCTCTTTGCATGAAACTCTAAAATGTTATTAAGTCTTCATAGTTTTTTTATATTTCCCGCTTTTCTCCGTTTCACTAATTTGTGGTAGAACTTTCTTTGCGTTATTCACCATAAAGTCTGATAAAAGCCTTTATCATTTTTTTAAATTTATTTCCATCAGATTTTTTTTATCCAAGGCCCAAACTTATGTCTCATTTTCATTTTTGGTTCATTTTCTTATTTTTCTTTCCATTTTCTTTAATTTTGTGTGCATTTATTAGCTCTCTTCCTGCTTCCCGTGTTTACAAAAATCAATTTTCCTGACAAAACATTCGATATTTGGAGGCAAAACATTTCTTCTCTTCCGTTAAATAAAACGTCCAGAAACTTGCGCGACAAAAAGTAACCAAAAAAAAGCAAATGTTAACAATTCAGTGTGAATTATGAATTTGACACAAATGAACGATGATGTGAATTATATTCGCAGCGTTATATTACAACGCAGTAATAATATCAGTAGATTTACACCGCAGTATAAAGTTTCTCATTGCCGCTTGGCTGCATGCACATTTTCAACGAATGCATGCATTGGTGGGTGTGTGTGCGTGCAAAAGTATGCCATTGTTTGTGTTTGTGTGTACTACGTTTGTTTGTTAAATATATGCATACATATTAAACGTATGTACTTGTGCGTACATGTTAATACGTATGAAATTATGTTTTGGTGTATTATACATTTTGTGTGTGTGTGTGTATGTGTGTGTGTGTGTGTGTGTGTGTGTGTGTGTGTGTGTGTGTGTGTGTGTGTGTGTGTCAGTGTGTCACTAGTAAAATGTTTGTGTGTACAAAAGTACGTTCGCATGGAAACATGTTAGTATGATTATTACTTTTGTTTATGGAGGACAGTGACTTGGCTGGCTGGAAGTTGTGATTTTGAAGGGTTGTTCTTCTTTCTTGTTTATTGTTGTGTGCGTGTTGGATTTTATGGACGATACTAAATAAAATATATGCTAATGTATTTTAATAAAGGTTTCTATGTTATGTTATGTATATAATATTATTTATTTTCATCCATTTTTAGATTTACTGGCTAGTATGTCCTGCTTATATTTCAGTTTCAAAAGCACTCAGTCGCATATTATCTTACAGTTACATACATAAAACACCACACTGAGGCAAACATTTTGTCTTACATTTTTATCTGGTGAGTCGTATATGCACGTCATTCTAAAAGGAAGAGTGTTTTTAATGTTTTAAAAAGTTGTTTATCAGTGAAATGCTTTGTATACTATGTAGCATTGATTTTCTCGGTTTGAACAGACAGTTAGTTCATCGTTGTTTACGAGTTAAGTTCCAATTGTACCCTGTTTTTTAAATTTTACGTAGAACCACCCAGAAAATAATAACTTCACTTAGTTTGAAGCTAGAAATTAACTGCTTGGATGTAGATATCATGTTTGTTTTATTCAAAAAAGTCACATTTCATAAGTTAATAAGCGTATGAAGGTGAAACCTTAAAAAATTGATAATTTAAGTAAATTTATGTTTAAATGAATAGATTGACAAATAAATAAATAATACATTTATGAACGCATAGGGAAAGAAATAAACATGCACAGAGAAACAAACATACGTACATACACAGAGAATATTGTTTTATCACTCAATGAAACGTTGCAAACACACAAGCACGCACAAGCACGCACACACACGCACACACACGCACACACACGGCCAGACAGACATGTACCAATTTGTCAAATTAAATTGCATTCTACCTAGCTATTTATATTTACTTACACATTTATTCAAACAAAAAAATATAGGCATTGATAATGGACAAAAATTTGGAATGATTTCATGAATGGAAGGAAGAAAATTTGTCTTGGTGAATTTGTCAATCGCGACTTTGTATATCTTATCAGCAAGGAAGAAGCTGGATTGCAATTTGTTTTTGACTTCTATGTTTTTTGTGCGAGTAAGCATCATCAAATTTTATAATATTTCAAAAATCGATGAAATATATTTCTGAATACTATCCTGTTGTCACATTTCATGCTCCTAATGTAATTTCAACTCTGCAAGTGCGAGATATTCATACGCTTCTAAGTTTCTTTGTAGGCTAACTGTTCGTTTTAGGACTATCTATATAGTTGGAACTATAGAAAAATTATCCACATAGCAGATAAAATCATCAAAAGAATCTGAACACACGCAGGACGAAAGCGCACCGCACTTACGAAATGAGAACGTTCAAAGAAATAATGACGCTCACATACCAAAAAACCCATCAAACACAATACTTCCTAAGTAAACAAGCAATGACGTCATAATTGCTACTCCTCACGTGACAGAAACGCCATGTGACGCGTTTATTGAATTTCTTCTCTGATTGCATCACGTCATGCATTGGAACGCTGCCAAGAAGAACAATTCCTTCCTTTCCTACATTTATATCGCAATGAAATAAATCATTTAAGCATATATGCACACTTACACACAAACCACACAAACACCACACCCACACACACACACACACACACACACACACACACCACCACACACACACATACGCACAAATATTTATACACACACAAACATAAGTGAATGTATCATTTATATTTTTATTTTAATTACATATATATCTTTTGAAAAAATCGAAAAAGCTTCCGTAAAATTCAAATCACGATATATTTTTGCAAAACAATTGTGATGGAACCTCGCAACTATTTGTTTCTCTGGCCATCTGGTGATTGAAAATTTGAGAAAAGAAAGATTTTGATGTTATCAGATGACGAGTTTTTGACATGGTTTCCTACATGCAAATGAATGAATTTTTGAGTATATTAATACTTTGTAATCATGTCTCAAAACTCTGCATATGCAGGTTTTATTAAACGTTTCAATGTCAAAATTTTCCTAAATATTTCAACGTACGACGAAACTTCTTTATCAGTTTATTTCGCCAAGCAAAAAAAAACCAAAAAATCTTGTTAGAAAAAAGGGTGCAGCATAATCTCATGTGTTCTTCTCAGCCATTCCCAAGTTTAGTTTTACTTAGATTTATTTTAATTTTATTATCAATAGACCATTTATAGACTTTCCCAAGAGTTCCGTTAGCTACTTTTAAAAAATTACAAACTTTTTCTTCGGCTTACAGATTATATGAACAGTTGTCAAAATCCTCATCAGGTAGAATGATGGATACAGTCTCGACTCAATTACTTTTTCACAATTTTTTCTTATATTCTCTCGAGATATCAACATATCGTTAAGTAAGGATGACATTTCATTCGAATCCAGTCACTGCAGCAGTAGTGCCAGCCACTTTTACCATTACACCATCCATTGCGCCGCACAAAAACTTGTTTTCAATGGTTACTGAGGCATTCACAATCTAATATGGGTGGGTACTTTATATTTATTTATAAGTACTTGTATGAATATTATGCGCGTGTGACTGTTAGAGAATTTTGAAGTATCATAAAATTTTAACAACTTTAATTTTTAGATTATTTGATTATTTATTTATTTCCATTATAACCAATACAATAAAAAAAGTTATTTCAAGTTTGTTTATGTTAAAATCTGGATAAAAACATTACAATAAGTTTAACAAATAGACAATTAAAATCATATGTGTTTATAAGTGTGTGTGGGTATGCATGTGTGAGAGTGTGTGTGTGTGTGTGTTTGTGTGTGATGTGGGTGTAAAAATGTGTGATTGTGTATGTGTATATATAACAAAACTAACGATATTAATAAGGCAATAGTAATCACCAGACATTTCATTTTATGAAAAAAAAACAATGAATGAAAATTTAACAATAGAAGCATCATTTATAGCGTAGGAATCCATGAATCATTATTACTGAATAACAGTTTAAACTGGTTTTTAATATTCTCTTGTATCTAACTTAATACTTTCAATAATTGTTTGGAAAAATTGGATAGATTATATGCTTTCCATATTTTTTAGAAATTGTTGCAAAAACTCCATCAAAGTTCATACGTATAGAATAGATCCTAATTGATTAGTATGATTAAAATGCAAAAAGTTAATTATTTGCGAATGAGTACAGTTGCAGATTTTAAATATAAAAAGATTATCATCTAGTTGTTTTTTAATGTTAATGTTTTTTACATTAAATGTATACGTTACTCATGAAAAGAAAAAGCAAGCTAAAAATTGTTATAGAATGTTTTTTTTTATAAATTTAATTTTTTTTTTTCATCTCATTTAAAATAAAATAATTTTCACTCGAACGCAATATTAGATTTTTACTCGCTCCAATGTTTCTATTATACCCTAATTCATCTACTGAAAAACTCATTCATTCGTTCGTTCATTCACTCACCCATTCATATAGTCATTGATTCATCCATTCACTCATTTATTTACTAATTTACTTACTCATTCACTCACTCAATAATTTACTCATTTACTCATTCACTTCATCATTCACAACCTAGTACTACTTGTTTCATTAGCTTGGAGCTTCCCACCTCCATCGCCGTTCACCTGCGAGTTGTGACGTCTGCCACTGCTGAACATGTGTGGCGCCAAATTTTGTCTCCCACCTGTGGGGCCTGACCCTCCTTTTTCATTCGTCACCACCTCTTTTCTCTCCTCCATCATCATTGTCTGTCCGTTCTCGTTCACCACAATATCCTCATCGCTTATCGGACTGCTGTGGAATGGTAGGCTTTGTATCGGCGCATCGTTTGGAGAGTCGAAATTCATCTTGTGAAAATGAAGAAGATGATGATGATGAAAGAAATTATGATGATAATGGTGATGATTATCACGGCAACAAAATGACATTGATACAAATACATGTTTACAGTAACAGCAGCAACAACAACAGTACAACTAATAGGTGAACACCAACAAAGAAGGCACTACTAACAATGTCAGCTAACATGCTTCTTCGCCTCTGTATGCGCCTTCCTGTCAGGTAGCATATCAATCCGACAACCGCAGAACAGACCACAAGCGCTGCTATCCCAATGAAGAAACCGACGTGGCGTGCATCAGCAGCTTCAGTCGTCTTTTGGTCCGATATATTGTTTTCCCTCGGGATAGCAAACAAATGGATCGCTACCGCTCTTCCTTCCTGTTATTTGTTTAATTATATTTCTGACTTCCTTATTTGTTTATGTAATAATTTTTAATTCGTAAAAATTATGAAAGCTGTTTTTATGCAAGCATAAATGATTTTATTCATTGAATGATTTATGCTTTGCACTTTGCACAGCCGAAAAACTTGGAACCATAAAATAAAATTGTTTAATACTAACATTCATAGCCGTGATTTTATCGTTAAACATTTCAAGGAAAATTCTGATCAAACTTGGGTCCCTTTCTATATCCTTAATCAACTTCTTCGCCACTGAATTATTTTTTTAATTTTTTGGATGTGTTTAAAAAAATTTGCATGCATTAAAAAATAAATTTGAAGTAATGAAACTTTTTCAATAATTTTCCCAAAACGTTTAGAAAACTATTATTTCCAAAAAACTTGTCAAGCCATTAAAAAATTATAAGATTAAATGAAATTTCACGTTTGGAACATAAAATTATAACCAGTATCGTTGCCTAAACGTTTTAAACATTCAACAATTAAATCAACAGTTTCATAAGGCTTCAAATCGTCGTCTCTTTCAGCATCTCTCTTTTTTATCCTTTTCAATGGTCTGGCGGAATTTTCATGGTTAGATATCGCAGAACGTTGAGATTCTTGGAACCGTTTTATCTAAAATTAAATTTTTATTACCATAAATAAATAAGCCGCTTATTTAGAGTTTCAATTTCAAATGTTACATGATACTTATCAATTACATAAATAATTGCACGACGGAGGCACCGTTCTACAGGCCCAATGAGAAACTATACAAGCAAATAGACGAGTTGCCATGGGCTCACCTCTTTGATCATCTAGAAAAATCAACTTTTCAAAATAACCCCCATTTCAAACCTCACATATATGCAAGATACGTTGATGACATCTTTATATCATTTGAATATCCTAATAAAGTTATTGAACTACTCACTGTTCTCAACAAATCCAAACTAAACTTCACCATTTAGCATGAGAATGATAAATCCCTACCTTTTCTTGATGTCCTTCCCACCCACAATGAACATAGCTTTCAAACTGCAGTCTATGTAAAAACTACAAATAAAGGCATTTGCCTCAATGGAAAAGTGAATGCACTGAGCAATTTAAAATTAGTACAACAAGAGCATTTGTCAACCGTGCCTTCACCCACACATCGTCAACTAAATTATGTGATATAACCTGTCTTATATTACAGACATAATATAAATAATTTGAGAATGGCAGAGGCTTTATTAATAAAAAATAAAAACCCTGTAATAAACATCCAACAACAGGCTGTAACGATCCTACCAACAAAGAAATTACTCACACAAAGAAACAATGGAACTTAGAATTCCTTTGTTAAAAATACTATAAATACCTGATGAACTAAATGTTATCACAGACTCCATTACACTGATGATGGTAAAGGTTACAGAAAAAAGCTTTTATGTAAATGTATATATGAAAAATCAGTTTAAAATAATTAGAAACTTCATTATTAATTTGAATAAACTGACTAATATTGAAAAATAATTGTTCGAAATATTGAAAAACTTAGTTACAAGCTCCACATTTAGGAAAATGTGTTGATATTTTATAATAACTGTATATACGACAGTCTGAACCCAAATAATATATATATATATGTGTACACAGTTAAACAAAAAATCATACAATTCAATACATGTGTACGTACAGGTTCTTGCTTGTTGATGGCCGAAATATATATATATACAGATAATAATATATGATGACACCATCATTTTCTAAAAAATTATCAAATATTCATATTAACTAACTATTTCTTCGAGATTGGTATTCACTAATACGTCGTGTTCTTTCTAAGGAAGAAAACGTTTTGTAATTCGTAAATCGAAGGAAAAAATATTCATCATTAAAATTATCATTCGCCAAAGTTAATTCATTTATCAAAATTTTTTAACTTAGTTATTACTAAATTTATTAAAATAATCAATCAATCAATCGGTTGAACAAACAATCAATCAATTAAGGAATCAATCAGCATTTCAATAAGCAATTCAATCGACAATTCAATCAACAATCCAAACAACAATTCAATCGACAATTCAATCTATCAATAGCCACACAAACAAAGGAAGAATATGTCTTATAAAGAATGGATCAAGTACCTTTGTCAGAAACACAGGTGGAGTATTTGGTACAACTCTTTCAACTGCGGTAGTTATTATCTGCATTTAAATATGAAACTTCCAAATATTCCTAACTTACAATGAATCATCTTTTAAAAATTAATTAACGAAAGAATGAATAAAATAGATGGATTAATGAATGAAGGAAAAATAATAATTAATCAATTAAATAAAATAATTTTAATGAAAATAATTTTGTAGTTACTTGAACATCCTCTGGTGGGAGTGGTTCATGTTTTCGTGTTGATGTGGTTGCCAAAGTTTTGGTTGTAGTAGGAACTGTTGTTGGTATTGTTGTGGTTTGCGTGGTTGTTGGTTCCTTTGTTGTTGTTGTTGCTGATGGTGTTAGTTGCAATGTTGCTAAAGTTGTTGCAAGTTCTGTTGTGCCTGCTGCTGATGCTGGTATGGTTTCTACTTTCATTACTGTTGTTGTTTTTTCAGTTGTCGTTGCTTGCGTTGTTGTTGTTGTTGTTGTTGTTGCTGTTTCATTGTTTGCTGGTTCCGGTGTTGTTGTTGTAGTTATTGTTGTTGTATTTGTTGTTTTAGTGTTTGTTGTTTCAGGTGTTATTGTAGTTATTTTTGTTGTAGTTGTTGCTGTTGTTGTTTCATTGTTTGTTGATTTCGGTTTTGTTGTTGTTGTTGTTGTTTCAGTATCATTTTTTGTTATTGCAGTTGTTGTTGATTCCGGTGTTGTTGTTGCTGTTGTTGTTGCTGTTGTCGTTTCAGTGTTTGTTGGTTCCAGTGTTGTTGTTGTTGTTTCAGTATCAGTTTTTGTTATTGCAGTTGTCGTTGTTTTAGTTTCATTTTTTGTTATTGTAGTTGTTGTTGTTGTTTCATTTTTTGTTATTGCAGTTGTTGTTGATTCCGGTGTTGTTGTTGCTGTTGTTGCTGCTGTTGTCGTTTCAGTGTTTGTTGGTTCCAGTGTTGTTGTTGTTGTTGTTTCAGTATCAGTTTTTGTTATTGCAGTTGATGTTGATTCCGGTGTTGTTGTTGCTGTTGTTGTTGCTGTTGTCGCTTCAGTGTTTGTTGGTTCCAGTGTTGTTGTTGTTGTTGTTTCAGTATCAGTTTTTGTTATTGCAGTTGTTGTTGATTCCGGTGTTGTTGTTGCTGTTGTCGCTTCAGTGTTTGTTGGTTCCAGTGTTGTTAATGTTGTTGTTGTTGTTTCAGTATCATTTTTTGTTATTGCAGTTGTTGTTGTTTTAGTTTCATTTTTTGTTATTTTAGTTGTTGTTGTTTCAGTTGTTGTTGGTTCCGTTGTTGCAGTTTCTGTTTGTTGCTTTCTTGTTGTTGTTGCTGTTGAGTTGTTACTATCCTCAATGTTTTCTAACACCTGGTTGTTGTTGCCTGTCGTAAATTCATAAACTACCGGCCCACCTGGAGTTTTTGCCAAACATCCTATAAATTTAAAAGGATGTATTTTTTTAGCATTAATTATGTTATCTCTCATTTTCTTATTGTTATTCGCATAGGAATTTTTTTTAAATATTATATTTAAAATTTATGTTTATGGCTAATTTAAATTTATGGCTATTATGAACAATTCACCGACATGCGTTGTTGGATCAGATACTGTTTCCAAATTCAAGAAGAATTTTGCCAACGAAGATTTTCTCGATGATCATAAAATTGACAGTCGTTTGATTGCTTTTGTGTCTTTTAATGCTATTTTGATATGGACATATATAACTTACGTTCAAGCCCGTTTTTTATTTTTATTTATTTATTTAATATTTGCTATCTTTTTTTATAAGTTATGATCAGACTTATTGCAATAAGGCTATAATATCGTTATAAACTCATAATCAATCGACATCTTTATCATCATTTTTACAATCATTTTCCTCATCATCATCTTTGTCATCGTCAACATCTTCGTCATCCTCATCTTCACATTCATCATCATCTTTATCATCATCATCACAATCTTTATCATTAACATCATCTTCATCTTCATCGAGTTTACTTTAAATTCAAATCATATGACGCCCCCTTCTTAAGCTCACTTACTCCACATAAGTTATCATCACTTCATTATCACATACACGCATCTAGTTGAGATCTCCAAAATGGTACGCAAGCTCTTTTATAACTATCGTATGCTATGCATACAAAAATCAAATTTATTGATTTAAAAATGGATGGTAGAAAACCGACATTATTTTTGCACCGACCTGATATTATGTAAATTCAGCACAAAGAACTATTACCAATTATCATTTTAATTTGGGGTCTATTCATTAAATTATCGTTAACTCTATTTGTCAAAAATTAAAAGCCCCCATAAAAACACACACGCACGCACGTGCACACGCACACACAAACGCACGCACGTACATTCGGTAGGAATTCAGTGACATTTGAGAATTCTTTTTTTCATATATTTTTCACTACTGATGGCTTAATAATTAAGAAATTCCTTATGTGAACAGCACGCCCATGCATATAATACTATTATTACAATCAATAATTGTTATCAACTAATTATTATTAGACTGATAACAAGACTATCTTATAAGTTTCCATTAATAATAATAATCCTACATTAATAACTAACTCTTCACAAGGTATAATGGTATAATCATCATTTAGCTAACGTGAAATTAATGCTTGTTATAATAATAGCTATTAAATAATAATAATAAAGTTACTATTATCATTAATTATTATATTAGAAATTACAATGATGATGATAACAAAAATATTAATTTGGCATTGACAAAAAAAAGTTAGTGGACCAAATGACACAATGAGGCTGAGCTAAAAATAGAATTGCTAGTATTATTATTATTATTGTTGTTGTCGTTGTTGTTGTTATTCTCCTCGGCCACTTTTGATGTTATCTACCGGTAGTCCAGCGGATTCCTGAGGTGTATGATTTTAGTTTCCCATTGTAATAAACTTTTGAAGTATGTGGCCAGTAGCGAGTAGAGCTATCTTCTGCATTTGTGCAACACTCTCCTCTCCAGGCAGTTCATCAAGATGCTTCTGCAGCCCCTGACGTACGGTTCTCAGTGCAGCAACTACCATTGGGATCACGCGTGTTTTTGTGTTTCACATGCGTGAAATCTTGATCTTAAAGTCTTTATATTTGCTTAGTTTTCCAGCTTCCTTCGTAGCAACATTCGTGTCATTGGGAACATCAGCATCGATAAGGAGGCATTTTTTGTTAGTTCTATAGTGGAGTATATGATATCTGGCCGGTTAGCCCCAATACTACGGTCGGCGTTCATAGCCACGTCGTACGTGAATGTTGTTTCGTCAAACTTGACAACCTTTTCAGGCTGGTGATCGTACCAGCGGTCGGGCACATTTTGACCAAGTTCTATCAGGATTGACCAATGTGGATGATTAGCGATCCTATTGTGTCGATGCGTATATTCTTTCGGCGCTAGTATTGGGCATTCATCCGGCCACAATGTGGTTGACACGCTCCTCCTGCTCTTGACACAACCTACATTTACTATCAACATTCTTGTTAAGAATACGTTTTTGATGTTATTACTTATTTAGTGCCTGATCATGAGCTGCTATAAGGAGACTTACTGTTTTGCCTTCGAGTCCAGAGCTGTATAGCCATCCAAATTATTATAATTTTTTATTATTATTATTATCATTATTATTATTTTTATTATCATCACCATTATTATCGTCATAATCATTATTATTATTAACTGTAATACAATTATCGGTATTAGCTAGCAATTAACGTTGCTTTAATTATTCTTGTCATCTATTATCTGCCCATTATGAAACTCGACAAGAAAACACAATTTTGTCATATATAATGGTGAATATACAATTTGATTTGGGCGTATATTCTTTAATTTTTGATAATTTATTAAAAATAATGAGAAAATAACTAAAGATACAAAAAAATTTGTTATGCTTGATATAATTCAATACTGATATAAGTTACAATACAATAACAATAATAATAAAAATAATACAAGTTACAGTGAAAATAAACTAAAATAATTATCATAAACAGTAATAATAATAATAATGTTAACGCAAAATAAATGAAAAAAAACGAACTGAACTTACCCTTAGGCGGAATTTGGGAGATAGTGATGAAGAAAGCGAGAAAAAAGTGCAGTGAGATAGGGATGAGGATGTGGAAGGGGAGAGAATGAGACATCTTTATTGTCAGGATACGTCTGCTGCAATGAATGAATGAATGAATGAATGAACGAACGAGCGAGCGAAAGAATGAACGAACGAATGAATGTATGAACGAACGAACGAACGAATGAATGAATGAATGGATGGATGATTGAGAAAATGAAAAGCAAATGAGTGTTTATCATTTGAAGATAGGATAAGTTGAGGAATGATTGTCTATATGGATGAATGAATAATTGAACAATTAGACAAATAAAATAAGTGAATATTTGAAATAATAATAGCATCAAAATGTTAATTGAATCAAATTTTATATAATTGAACGATTAAATAGTTTAATAACAATTTTATATGAAAGAATTATTTTAAATAATAAATAAGGCGCGCGTTGCCAAAAATAATAAGACTACCGTCCTTTTGGTTGAATTATTAAAAAACTGAAAATCAGTAAAAATGTTTCAATAATCCAAAAAACGTATATGTTGCCAGTTCACACATACACGCCATTACTAAATTATTAAATAAATATCTATTTTTCGTCAATTTAAAACTGACTTAACAAATAATTCACAGTCATCATCAATAGTATATATACGTTCAAACACGTGATAAAAAAATTAGAGGGAATGTTTTTTTTTAATGACAGACAAGTACAAACGAATCGTGAAAATAATATTAGAGCTTAGACTACTAACTCACAAAAACATTCACACATAAACACACAAATTTGTACATAAGTATATATACACAGACACACACAGACACACACACAGACACACACACACATGAACACACACTCAATTTTGCATACACAAAAATACACATTGGCACAAACACTCACACAAACGGACAAACAAACACGTACATAAATACGTACGTACACGCCAGAGGCGTAGCTAGGGGGGCGGGGTTACATATGTCTCTGGAGGTCAAGTACGGGGGGCGCTAAAATGAGGCTGACAAAATTTTCACAGCAACAGTAAAAATCTTATCACAAGCAAAAAAAATGAAAAATTTTTTTTGTAAACAGTAATTTTTACAATGTTAATGTAATAAAAAATGTGATTAAGCACGGAGAGGGCGGTGCGCCAATTTTACCAATTTCCCCCGGGCGAAAAATACCTACGCTACGCCTGGTACACGCATATACATACGAAAACCACCACACAAAACCCACAAACAATAAACACATACACACAAGACACACAGAGTGAGTCTGTGTCGAACAGACAGAATTAGAATAACGGTTTTGCTATTAAAATTACTTCTAAAATCGAACGAATCATCGATTTATACGCATGCTTCTATAATAATAATAATAATCTATAATTGATATTGATGAACAACAACTGAAAATTATTTTTAAATTTAGTTATTTGTTAGTCTTATTTTCCGTTAAAAACGAGAACAAAGAAATTTGCCGGTTGAAATATATTTTTTATTTTCCCCAGTGCAGTTGACGAGAACTTCTGCTAAATAAATCATTTGTTAATGCAATTAAGAAATTTGTAGTGATTGTTGTAGCAGCAGCAGCTGTTGTAGTTTTACGTGGTTGTTTTAATAACATTAATGTTAATAGTACATTACATGTAGCGTCAATTAAAGCATTGCTATTAACAGTAGTACTATTTGTAAGGCAGGAAATAGAAGAGACAGTACTAACAGTAAAACCAACGCCTACTTCAACTTGGGGTCGAAATTACTAGTTTAGAGAACAAAAAACGGGTAACAAAAAAATAAAAACCTCCAGATATTTATGAAGATCTTTAATTATTTGTAGAAGCTCGTGTAACTATTTGTAGTAAATTCTGAGTGTCAGCGTTCTTATAACTATTTGGAAACATTTTGTTAAACCATGTTAAACCATGTAGAACTAACATTTTTTGTGTAGGCCCTTGTTGGCTTGCCTTAGTAGTGGTAGTATTAATTATAGTAGTAACAGTAGTGCCAGTAGCACCAATAGTAGTATAATTTTAGTGAAAATAGGGATGATGTGGCAAAGGAAAAATGAAATAAATGAAATTTGAAAAATTGATAGTCTAATTAATTGCTATCTATGATGAATTTAAAGTGAACGTAAAACTGTCAGCTAAGATTTTACATTTGTAATGTAAAAATATTTGATAAAATTTTTCATTAAGTGCTAAAAAGTCGTTTGCTTGTTTCAAATAATGAAAGACCTTGGATTTAAAATGTTTCATTGATTGGATTTAAAAATGTTCCTTTGATTAACCACATTTAAATAAATGTAAAACCGTTTGTCCGTAGTTAACTTTTCTAAGTGATTCTACGAGATATTGATTGTTTATAAACTATTAAAATTAAGTTAAATAAAGACCTATTAATTTCCATTGAAATCAAATGATAGCTCTCTCAATAACTCAGATGTTTGCCCGTGTACAGAACATGTGCTGGTTACATTACAAAACTAAAATTAAAATAAATAAAATTTTCGCAAAGTAGTTTGAATGCTGACTCCGACCATAATAATTTTTGGGAAAAATGTTCTCGTAAACACGCAAATGTATTAAGGTTATTAAAATCAAGTAAAGAGAATAACGCAATTACATTGATTTAATTCAAATGATGATGATAATGATGATAATGATGATGACGACGACGATGATGGTGATGACGATGATGTTGACGATGATGATAATGGTGATAATGAAAATGATGAAATTGTTGACGCAATAACCACAGCTAAAGAGAACAGAAAGTTAAGTTGGATGAATGATGACGTCGGCAACGATAGGGACTGTGATGATGACGACCACGGCGATGACGATCATGATCGAGGCTGCAATGATGATGACGATGATGATGAAATAACAAGATTTCATCATTAAATCTTAAAAATAATGGAGACATAACGGTTAAAATAAAACGACAACATCACGTACATGTTTTATGTGGACCAAATTTTTATATTTCTAACTAAACATAGCCGACAATAAAATCTAAGAATAATGATGATAAGATATAACAACGACAATGCTATTAATCAACTTAATGAGAGGTGGGTGGGCAAACGTTTTGCTGTGAGGGCCGCAATAAGAACTATTTTAACTTTGAAGGGCTGCATATGTACTTGAATAGCCAATTTTTTCGAGCCAATTTTTTCGAGAATTTTTCGACATTTTTTGGAGCGAACAAGAAACCAGGTCACGTACTTTGCCCGACCCTTAACTTAACTACTTAACTAAATCAATATTATTGCCAAAAAAATCTAAATTCTGAAATAAAACAAAGTAAATAAAATAGAAAAATTTATATAGCAAGAACTCACCCAACTACGGATCAAATTGAATGAATGAGATAAACGAAATTTATGATAAAATATTCTCTTTTGTATATGTATTAATAAATAATTTATCAATTAACTAATTAAAACAATTAATGTATTCGAAAGAATAAAAACGATAAATAACTTTAATTTAAAAAAAGAGGCACACACACACAAACACGCTGACGGACAAATAAATAAAGCCTTACAAGTTCTTTATATAAAAGGCAGAAGAGATGAATGATGACGACGAAGTCGATGATGAAATTAATTATTAAGAAATTTTTTTTAAAACAAATTTAACGAAGAGAATAATAACTGCTGATCAATTAAATTCTTCAGTAATTTTTTGTGTCATGTGCATTAAATAAATGGGTGACTATATCGTAGCACTTATATTGTATATATATATATATATATACATACATATATATATATATCACTTATATTGTATATATATATATTTATTTATTTATTACGCAAACATAGCATTATGCTTCATCATTAAATCTCTAAAATAATATCCTCATATACATACAGTTGTTTAGAAACGTTGTTTAGGAAGAGAAAGATGAGGAGAGAGATGATGATGACGACGATAATAATGATGTTGGTGATGGTGATAATGATGATAGTGATGATGATGATGGTGATGACGACGACGATGGTGATGATGATGATGACGGTGATAATGACGACGATGATGATGATGGTAGTGATGGTGATGATGATGGCTTCATCAGATTGAACGATGATGAATGATATTGGTTAATGAAAAACTTGATATGGCAAAAATTTTCAATTAATTGATAACAAACTCAAGTGGGGTTAAATGTATAAACATTAATAATAATAATAACAATAATAGTAATGCTTGTATTAATAATGTTAGTAGTAGTTGTACTTATAATAGTATTATTATTATTATTAGTAGTAGTAATAGTAGTAGTAGTAATAGTAATAGTAGTAGTAGTAGTAGTAGTAGTAGTAGTAATAGTAATAGTAGTAGTAGTAGTAGTAGTAGTAGTAGTAGTAGTAATAGTAGTAGTAGTAGTAATAGTAGTAGCAGAAGTAGTGTAGTAGTAGTACTAATAGTAGTAGTGGTGGTAGTACACTTTATTAACTGATATTTTATTACTCTGATTAAACAAAGTTGTCACAGGCAAACGTCTGATTTACAATCGCAACAATTCTATCGAGCCATACAAACTAACGCTATTCAGTGGCGGATCTAGAGGGCTGGGAGCCAAATATCTTGCCCCCTCTTCAAATTTCAAAAGTTTTTCAACATTTTTTGCATTTTGTCAGCCACTGATTTTTTTATTCTATTTAATTAGTTGGATGTCATTCTTTTTTTATATAAATTAAATTGATTTAATCTTGAGTTTTTTCGTATTCAAAATTAACACTTTGTTCGTTATTGAATATAACTTTTAGCTATCTCTTAAACAATTCTAAGAGGCAAGTAGGTAAACACAACTAACAATTACAACATGCGAATACACTTGATTCCACCCTCTGCGAAAACAGCTGTCTTAATCTTTAAACCATCTGGTCAACACTAAAGAGCAACAGTAAAATAATGAATATTCATGTTAAATATTTTAAATAAATTTACTGAATTATAAGATTTAAAAATGCCTCGTCGTATTTATGGAATCTGTTTCCAAAATGTTTGTTTGGTATGTATTTAAAAATTCCACCAGCTATGGTTATGATGAAGGCGTCTG